GTAAATAGGCATCTCTGTCATCAGACTTTTCACTGTTATATGAGTTCATTTTATTGTTAGATTTAATTTATATTCTTAACTTTTTATATTCTGCTTCTGTTTTTAAATTTTGTTTGTGGCTTGAGCGCTTGCCAGAGTACAAAGGTGGGGTAGAAAGAGACAATTTACACTTTGGAATTTGTATGCTTAGCAAAAATGCACAATTTGCCCTTTTTATGGTTAGTTGTTTTACTCTATCATTAAAAAAAGTCCACATCTTGGTTTTTAAGCAGTTAAATTTACTGAAGTAAATTCCAGTTACATCAGGAGTCAATTTCACAATTCATTCTTTCCAGTTTCATAATCCCACACACTTTTCCAGTGTGGACAGAAATTTGCCTGTTTGGTTTCCTCTGCTGCTTCGCTGTAGCTCTTTCAGTTTTGGCAGAAAGCCTCAACAATCTTCCACCAGACTTTGAACCTTTCCCAATTGCTAAGTCATCCTTGAGCTGGCAAAAAACCATACCTGCATAAGATCTGCCGATCCCATCGCTAATCCCTATCCTGCTTTTGTTTCAAGTCACTGCAATCCCTTGATTTCTCTCCAAGGCAATGGGGGACAATGCTCAGCAAATTTTACACAACTTGAGGCTTCACTTGGATGGTGTCAGAATAAAAGAGAAAATATTATTTTAACAGGTACCTGGTATTTAAATGTCATCATCATAATTTATTTTGGTCATTGACCGACACAATTTACATTCAATACTAAAATTAAAATCGTTCCATTGTGCCAATAGTCTAATCTACAGATTATAAGAATAGCTAACATTTTTTAAAATTAATTTTTATTAAATAAGTTTTTTACGAAGTAAAAACAATACACATTTAAAGAAAAAAGAAAGAAAAGAAAAAAGTGGTAAGCAAATAGGAAAGAAATGAAAGAGAAAAGAGAAAAATCAAAAAGATATAAAGGAGGGTCTTCTGATCTTCTTTACAGCAGTTATAAATGCATTTATATTTTATCCTGTCTCTCTCTAAGGTTATATCATGGCTCCCTTCTTTCCATATTCTATCCTTTTTAATCATCAAACCCATAAGTCATAAGTTCATTTTTTTCCATTTTCAGCAAAAAGTCCATAAAGAGTTTCCAGTCACTAACAAATGTAGTTATTGTCTTTTCCCTAATCAAACAAGTCACTTTTGCCATTTCTGCAAATTCTGTCATCTTCACCAACCATTCCTCCATTGTGGGTATTTCAGTCTTTCCAGCTTTGTGCTTATAGTAGTCTCGCTGCCGTTACCATGTACAAAAACAATTGTCCTTATCAATCAAGAATAGCTAACATTGAAGGTATTCAGGTATGGATGACTTCAGCCTGTCTCACTCATGGGCTGGGAATGAGATGAAGGCAGTGTCATGGCGACAAGGCATAAAAAAGATTTGCAAGAGAATGTTTGTGCTGTGATTAGGTGCAAGCAGGGAAACACCCATAGAATGCAGCAAAAGTCCTTTTTAAAAATCTTAGTGATTTTATTTCTCTGTGTCAGAATTGTTTAAGGAGGGGAAGAGCGATTGGTGGATGTTTTCCCAACAGCAAAAATCCACCTATCTCTGCCCTTTAACATGTGCTGTCAGACAGCCTTGTATCCAGGCAGAGTAGACAGCAGCTAGACAGTGTTTCTCAACCTTGGCAACTTTAAGATGAGTGGACTTCAACTCCCAGAATTCC